CACACACTTTCATGATATTAATGTGCTCTTAATGTGAGCCTAATTTGTTACTAATTTGGCAAATTGATTTGGGCAATTTCGTTGATTTCTTATCAATTTCGAAGCAGTTTGTCTTAAGTGAAAACGTTTAATATTAACTGTTTAAGGAGTGTCACTAGTTGTGAAACTAAAATTTCTAGTGAAATTAGAAAAAAAAATGATGAAGTCATAAAAGAAGTTTATAAAATTAGGATGGTATAATTTATTCCAAAGGCATTTGATATTCGAATATGATGACTTCATTTGGTTGGCTATTAACTATTCTGTGAATATTGTGTGCTTTACATATATGTATATATATCTACAAATGTTAATAACATTTCGTTAAGTAGTTGATTTTGAGGTCATTCTTTCACTTTTATTTTCATTGGGCTCTGGCCTGTCAATTTGTATTGAAAGTAAAAATTATTACTAATGTTTTTTTAGTTATTTTTATATCATAAGAGTAGTAGATATACGTAATAGTTATATATGTAAACAGGTTTTCTTGTTATGCTTTTCAAGTATTTTAATGGTCGATTTATGGACGAGGCAAGTACAAAAGTAATATAGAAATGTGTCATTTAAGCGTAATATATACTTAAGTTAAAAATTTTACTACATTCTACAACTAAAAACCAATGCCAGCAGTCATACGAAGTTTTTTGCTTTCATTGGAATTACTCATTTTTTGTCGTTAGAAGCATTTTAATTAAATAAATTTTTAATGTCGACAAGTGAGTTTTGTTTTGCATATTTAGCGATTTTTTTTATATAAATAGTAAATAGTAGAAAATGACATAATTTTTGTATGACTTCGAGCTTGCATCTTTTTTTTTACTATAATTTTTAAAATTATTTATATGTTATATTAAATTTTTTGTTTTTTACTACAAAAAAAATGATTGAATATTTTTGTTTTAAAACTTTACAAGTATTTAAAAACAAAATTTGAAAACAATTTTCCTAATTGTTATGGGTGTGTTGATCAAATTTAGTTAGTAACATTTAAAAGCTTTAAAGCTGTTAATAGCTCTCATTAAGAATCGTTTTAAGAAAGCAAAACAAGTGTTTGATCGCTTAAATAAAGTCTGGAGATCATCTCAGTTATCGCTCCGAACTAAAAGCAAAACAAGAGTTTGATCGCTTAAATAAAGTCTGGAGATCATCTCAGTTATCGCTCCGAACTAAAATATATGGATGTTCTACATGGATGCCAATCTTGGAACGCTGCGGTAAACGAAATCAATGCACTGCAAGTTTTTATAAATCAGTCATTACGCAAAATTGTTGAAGTATTTTGGCCAAATACAATTCCAAATGAACGTTTATGGTCTTTAAAATTCAGCAAACACCTATAAGAACCGAAATCAAAAAACGCAAATGGGACTGGGTTGGCCACACTTTACCACTTTAATTACAACCCAAGTACGGCTTTGGGTCATTAGCTTTGGCTAATGAACACCGACTCTGTGCATAAACCTTGTCAGGGTACAAATGTTAAATATAAGAAATAATTCCAAGATTATTGATGATGGGTATTTCGCAGTACTTAAAACAGCTGTATCACAGCTGGTCAACCAAAAATTCAATTAATAAATAATAAAAATAATACTTGTACTATCCGAAGTATCTCCCTAGTAAAACCATTAGTTTATATTAAGAATTTAGTTTTTTTCGTCAAAGCAGACGTTAAAAATCAATATTATTATTAATATGATTTACATGCCAATAAATCTATCTTATAAAATAATACTTGTACTGTCCAAAGTACCTCCCTAGTAAAAACAATAGCTTATATTAAGGATTTCGTCAAAACAGACGTTAAAAATCAATATTATTATAAATGTGATTTACATGTCATTAAACCTATCTTACTTGGGGTTAAAGATAATTTTTTTTATACAATAGTTTATATGTACTTCAAATTAAAATTGAAAATAGCTGAAACAGTTTATAAAAAACTAGTTAGTTTACACTCGTAGTACTTAGAATAAACATTTCTTATATTGTTTTTTTTTTATATTGAATATTTAGAATACACTACAGTTTTTTTATTGGTATAAAAATTCGGATTAATCTTGATAGTTTTGATCATGTTTCAATAACATCAACAGAGAGCGGCTATTCACGGTTAAATCAGTAAATCTTTAGAGACACTGGTGCTTGACATTTAATTTCACAGTCGATGGTAAGGAAAAACCATCAATTTTTTTTTAAGACCTCTCGCTTAAATGGGCCCGATAATTTGTTTCTCTATGAATAACTTAATTGAAAAATCGTTCATACTGTAATAGACAATATTCGGCGAGTAGATGCATTGTATAAGCGCAACGAACGAATCTATTTTTTTTTTTGTTTGAACATCGTAAGATCTTTTTAGAACTTGTAGGTCTTTCTAGGTCTTTCCGTGAGCACGTTTTTTAAATTTTTTTCTTTTAAATTAAGACACTTGTGTATTTATTACTTGAAATATGGAGTGTGGAAACAAGTGTTGCCACTAGTTTGAAACCTTTAACTTGATTGCACTTAAATTGGACCTCTATGTATTTAATATATGTATAGTATATATTATTATTAAAAAGTGAAACAGTTTGATTAGGATTTCAATATAGTTAACACATAAGAAGTAATCTCATGGTTTAGATAAAAGTTTTGATAAAAATTTTCTTATGTTTTTATCAATATACACTTTAAAGCAACTAAACTAATACTGTTAATGTTTAATATTTAAAAATATTTGAAATATTAAATGAATTAAATGAATTTTAAAAACTAAATGTAGGCAGAAAAAAATTTAAATTTCAAAAATTCAGACATTTTTTCTTTTTCTTTCAAAATCTCAATATTTTTTTCTTTTCTTTTATATAATTAATTTATCATATAATATATGTATGTCAAATACTATTTTATTAAAATAAATATTTTTGTTTTTATTATGATAAATATTAGTTTATTTATAGGCACCACTTATCCAAATCTGCGAATCAGAAGTAACAGATAAGCGGGTAAATATATTTTAGCCAAAAAAAAAAAAGAATATATGTATATATATAAATATATTTTTTTTAAAATTGATACGAAAACAATTTATTCCATTGTGTTTTTATAATTTCGTAAAGGTATTTCTTATGAATTTATTTTCGTTCCATATGTGGTGAGCGAGTCGAAATTGGTCTTTCATATCTGCATTTTTACACGTTTGCCTTCAAATACTTGTACCTTTTCATAGTCATAAGCTTTGTAATGGAATTATTTTTAAATGCGATAAAGATAAGTACTACAAAATACTAAAAAATTTGTTTTTAATGGAGTTCAATTGTAATTTAAATTTATTTCTATAAAGTCCACTACAAGTACGTAGCTAAGGGAGAGGGTAAATTTAGGAATTGGACTAGTGCGTCCCGAAATGAATCGATGGACTTTATGCATATATATATCTTTATTTATTATTGATACGCCATGACATGATTGAATTGTAAACGAAAGTATAGTTGATTCAGCAGTTTAGGTGAAAGTAAATTTTCTGACTTTGGATCAGCTCCTACATATTTCTGCATTATGTGTTATCTTACTTAATTAATCAATATATTATAAAATTAATTTTTCTTAATAGAAGAATTGATGCATATGAAATCCAATCTAATTTTGCAATATAAATTCTTTCGCGACATTTTTTAATTTTATTAAAAAGAGTTTATTTTAAACTCTGTCTCTCTCTCTCTCTCTTTCTGTCAACTGGAGCCATTCTTATCATGTTTATTTCCTTACAAGTTATGACAAATGCTGTTCTTTGAACTTTTGTGGTAGTAGTTGATAATTATTTCATTTTTAAGAGGCATATATTTTATATATCTGTATTTAATTATACAGAGTGTTTCGTTAGTAAGTAGCATGTATATAGAATTAGATTCTATATAAAGGAAAAAAAAGTAATAAAAGGAAAAAACTTAAATATATTAAAGTTAGGTTTAAGATTGTCATTTTCATTAATAGCCTTGCAGCAGTTGAAGATATTTGATTTTTATCTTTAAATTAAAGCTAGTCAGATAGTCCAGGTTGCAAACCGGTAAAATAAGTCAACAAACTGACATTAATATTTTTTTGAGAGAGTTGTCTAGCGTTTGCCTAGAAGTCGTTCAGGTCACAACATGTATAATCTCTCAGTTGTCTTGACATTTGTATAATAAAATTTTACATCCAGAGAATTATACAAGAATCGCTTACTGTAAAAGCTATACTGGATATTGTATGATTTATTGCACATCTTTTAGTCTTTTGTAACTCAAAAATCTTTTTAAATCTTCGCTTTGATTACTTGAAAAAACAAGTTTTTACGGACGTTTTTAAGGATGTAACGGAATAACAGCTTGTCTGGATCAAGCCATGAGATATATTAAAATACATATACTCAGCAGGTTCGATCTGATTTTATCTATAGAAGTTTCTTAGTAGTAATGTGATACTGAAATAAAGAATAATTATGAGAAGTAATAGGGCATTTACTGATCGATGACTATAACAAACTAACTAAACTACTAAGTGTTTTTTATTACTTTGGTAAAAATGCACAAAATCGCGGAAAAAACACAAACTAATTCAAATTAAAAGAGTTTGGGGTTTTAATGACTTAGATTTTTATTCTCCGTGCAATTTTCTTTAATATATTACAATATATTTCGGTTAATATTGAAAATGAGCTCTTTTTCTCATAAGACATTTTTTTTTAGTTTTCTGATTCATTAAATCATGATTTACTTTGAAAACACCCTGTATTTATAATACATATAACAGTGGTAAAATTGCAAAAAGTATAAAATTTTAAGTAAAAAATGTATAATGTATTTCAACTTTACTAAAATTACAAACTCTGTGGATTATTATTTTATTAAAAACAGTAAGACTTGTTTATATTTAAATTTATATTTAAAATTATTGCACGTACTTTATTATTCATAAAGTTCTTGTTTTATTTATTATAGAATTTCGAGATACTGTTGAAAGGAATCTAAAACACATTCTGTCTAAAACTACGGTTTAGACATGCCTTTGCCAAAGCGCTCTATTGAGCCGGTGCATGTGGCACGTTCTGTCTACCAGCAAGATGAACTACAATCTGTTGAATTGGAGACTGTAACAAATACGACCCTAACGAATATTATAAGACAATTATCATCATTATCTAAGCATGCGGAAGATGTATTTGGTGAATTGGCCCGTGATGTGGGCAACATTGGTGATAGAGCAAATTCGCTGCAGGCACGCATCGATCGACTGGCTATTAAAGTGACGCAATTGGATAGTACAGTTGAGGAGGTGCCACTTACCGATATAACACGAAAAAAGGCATTCAAGTCAGCTAAAGTTTTTGACCAACAAATCTTTTCACGTGCCACTATGCCAGCACCAATGTTAGAAACCTATTCACAATGTGATAAACCGCCGCCATTAGATAAATTAAATATTTATCGTGATGATGGCAAAGATGGGTTGAAATTCTATACGGATCCAAATTATTTCTTTGAACTTTGGCGACAGGAAATGCTTAAGGATACGGAACGTGTTATGCACGATAAGGGTAAAAAAATGCATAGACCACGACAAGATGGTACCAGTGGTAGTGGAGGCGCTGGTGGTCGAGGACATAAAAAACGAGTACGTACACCGCACAACACACGCGAAAAGCAACGACAAATTGCAATCGGACATGGTGAAACCCTAATGCCAAACAATGTTATTTATCGCACTCCTAATTCCGTTGTAAATGAGGAAGCAGGTTATGGCAGTAAGTATTACTTTTTCACTTCTATGCAGATAAATTTTTTTAAATAATTATCCAAAAATTAGTTAAATACTATTAAAAGTATATGTACAAAAATTTTTTTACAAAACCTCAGGATTTTAGTTTAAATTGGTGGCTTTTTTTATTGGTTTAACAATATAGATCTATTCATAGGTCAATTTATATGTACAATGTTTTTTATATTTTTGAACAATTGTAATATCATTTAATAGCCCAGCTTGTCGAAATTCACACAATTGATATCGACAATGCAACACACACTGGGAACACACTGAGCCGTAATCGTAAGAAACCGCCAAATGTGGTCAACGATGATTTTACATGTACGTACGACGACGGCAGCCGTAAAGAAACAAGTGCGGCCCTCGTTTAAATAGCGTAGCTAACATTAATGCCAAAATCAAATCAAATCAAATCAAATCAAACCAAACGCTCTGTTCACTGCCTTACATTTTCAAAACAAAGAACTGTGGCGGATTTAAATTTTGCAGTTACGCTTACTGATATAAAATTAATTTATAATTATATTAAAAATAAAAAAAATATTGCAAAAGTAATATCGGTATTTTCGAAAAGCTTTTTTAATTTTAATATAAAATTCCTGAATAATTAAAAGAAGTATATTTTGTTCTCTCACGTCTGTTGATGTTGTTGTAAATCGAAGTGGGAGGACCACATGGGTATCTGAAAAGACAAGTAGTTGAATGGATCTCTCTCGGAGTTTTTTTAAATTTAAAAATGATGCTTTATGAACTACTCGACATTAGTTTTTTTAGTCTTTTTCCTGTTTGTCGTATATCCATTTTTTCAGTAAATATTCATACGCTGCGAGTACAACATACACAAATTAATTTTTTATTATAGTGTTTTCGCTGTCTTTAGTGGGCATAGGACCACCCCACTACTTAGGGTTAACTGACCGAAACATATTCGTACATTTTATTTATTACTTTCTGGTCTTGAGATATTCTATAATACATTATTTTGAGATGTTGAACAGTAAATGATAATAATCGATCGCAACAATAAGTGATCGGAGGAGTGGTAGGTTATTTTTCTCTGAAGTTCGGCCAGTAAATATGGCACACGGACAATAGCAATGAGAAAATGTGCAGAGTAGTAGATTCTATTAATTTGGAAAGTAAATGTACCATATACGGACTTTCTTGATTTTTTTTTAGATTCGCTTATTCAAAGTACTAATGTAGAGTATAATGCTAGTAACAAGAATACATTCTTTTTATACATAGATTTATAGAGCACACCAATATAAACTCGAGCTGCCATCTATTTTGACAAATTGTCAATTTGTATTTGTAGTTAAGAAATTGTTACCATTATTCAGAAATATTTGTAATCGTCATTCAAGATAACTCGAAACTTTTGGCAAAACTATTGATCATTATATATTAATTTAGACATTAACTTATTATAACAAAAATTCCGTACTTTAAAAATAAATCTCTTTTAGTGTTTGAAAATAAATTACTTAAAGTTTCTTGTGTTAGAAATGTACTTGATAATCTCACATTATCTGGTAACAGATTGAAAAAAGTCTTTGCAAAGAATTCAATTAAAAAATATATATATATTTGTCTTGGTTATAGTTATCGTAACACATAGTAGAAAAATTTAAAATACTTACTCCAAAAGAATAATAAAATATAATCCATGAACAACTGAATCACAGTAGGCATATAATGCACACACGATCAGTATATATAGCACCAATCATTTATTCAAGTTTGAGTGCCCATACAACTCTGTTTCGAGTAATGACAAATACTTATCATCAGTGGTCTTAGGAAATATTCAAATTTTTTTAATTAGGTTATAGTCAACTGAACAACTGAATCGCTGTAGGCATATAATGCACACACGATCAGTATATATAGCAGCAATCATTATATTTACAACAAAGTAAGCTTTAAATCACCTTATTTGAAACAACAAACTGTAATTGTGACCACATGTGACAAATCATACAAACGTCTGTATTACTGGGTAAATCTGTGTGCAATAGTCGAAAGTTTATGGTACAACAACTTGAAGTATAAATACAAGTATGTAGAGCTTAGACTACTTACTTTAATTGTTTACAGTAATTATGAAAATTGATTACAGATTACACGATAGCTAATTCTATTCGAACTTTTTGAAAGCATTTTGTAGTTCTACTCGTATGAGTATGAGTAGTAATGACACCTATTTCTATTTATGACTACATTCAGTATTAAATGCAAAATAAAGACATTTGTTTTTTCTATTTGCAAACATATTATTGCAATTTTGGAAGCACAAAATAAAATTTGATATCGATAGTATCGGGGACGCTAATGTATAATAATCTATTAATCTTCCATTACCAAGTATTATTCTTTCTATAAGTATCGAAAAAGTTATACAAGTACCCGGTAGCAGGTATTTATTTATACCGAAACACCGTTACAACCGATATTACTTTTGCAACAGTTTTAATATATAAATACAAATAAATATTGATTCATGCAAGTCAATATTTAAATATGTAAGATTGTGTAATGAAAATACCGCCACTGTTCAGAAATCAAGCAATTTTTTTAAGCCTTCATTAATAACCTAATTAATTACAAAAAACAAAAAAAAAAATAGAAAATTATAAAAACCGAAAATTACATCGCCTGCTATACAATAATACATATTACATACCTATATATTATCGTTAAATATATGGCTTTGTTGCAAATCGTTTATATTATAAGTATATATATTTTTTTTAAATTTTCAATAATTTTTATAGTTTATAGCGTTCAATTGTTTTCAAATTACGGTTTAAATTTTATTTTTATGCCATTAAATTCGGTTTTGTTCGTTATCATTCACTTTAATATCGTTACCATTTGCAGATAATGTAAGGCCCTATAATATGCTATCACATTTGGAAAATAACAGTAATCTTACCAAGCAAACAGCAGTTGCAATTACAGGTCAGAATAAGTCTATAACTTCTCCAATGTCAAAATTGTCACCCACAAAATTGATATCTATACTCTTACTCGTATTCTTGCATATTCGATTATATGTACCCGTATTGTATACATATGTATAATATATATACCTAAACACAATCACAATATAATATATTTTCAATAAATATATTTAAATTTATTTAAAATTTCGTAATTATTAAATATGAATAATTTCTAAAAACAAAAAAAAAAAAACACTTACCTCCTTCACTGTCAAATTCTACTTTTTTTCTCTCTTCTCTTTAAACACTTCAAAATATAAGATTTTTTTAATACACTTACTCCAAATTAAAGAGTAATTCTTTTTTAAAGAGCTCAGTTTAGAATTGGCCTATTAAGAGACACAGCTCCAAATTTTTAAAATCGTTCCCAAAAATATATGAGGTGCAGATTTAAGTAATACGAAACCATTTTTTTTTCTTGCTCTTTAAAATTGAATTTTTTCCAAATTTTAGTTTTAAATTCTTTTCTTTTTTTCTATTTTAGCGTCAACTTTGGGTAAATCTTTTATTAAATCTTGGGTATTCTTGAGAGCAGTTAAACATAAACATACATACATATCATAAATATTATTTTATTAAAGTAAAACTATTTAATGTATTGCATTGCCACCTAGCTGTCGCATATTTTTGCATTTTGAAGTTTCTTAAAATTTAAGTTCCAAGATATATATATATATATCTTATATATCTTGGAACTTAAATATATATATTCGATTTGCATATGTTTTCTATTATATTATTTTATATCTTAGAGATGATTTGGTTATTTAACTGTTGAAATATTACTTTGATTTACATGTTAGTATTATTAGTATTTTCTGTTATAAAGAAAAAAAAACATTTGTTTTGCTGTTTAATTTATTACATATTAAATTTTTTATTGTTAAGAAAAATTACATTTTGTTAAAATTAAAAGTAAATTTTTTGCTTTCTCTTTTCGATCATAAATAATGAATATTAAATAAAAAAACAATAACCGTGTTTATAGCAAATGTTTATTAACATTGTGTTATAGAAACTTCATATATTTTAAAGACACAATTTTATATTTTTTCATTAATTTTTATTGCATATTAAAAGCAATCATTAATTTCATTTAATGCAATGCGCTTGTATCGAATTACCACTATTTTTCGTTAAGATATATACCATATACCCATTATAGTTCCCTGACGCAAACCATCTGCCACGGCTTTTACCATAACATAAGTAGCACGATGCTGTTAATAAGATACAATATTTAAACTCCGCAGTAGTATTAGTTCCAGATATACGTTTGTCACACTTTAGTTGTTGCTTTCTTTTCTTTTTGTTTTAGTTTCTTGCAATTTATTGTACTAATCGCTTTGGGAGGAGATTGGTAAGTATACAAAAAACTGCTACAAATCTCCTCCATAACTAATTGTTTGTACTACAGTTTCGTGACAGTCGTATAATAATCCATAAAAGACACCTTTCCATATTGTTGTCAGTAATTAACATACTTTTTGAAGTTTCATTTGTTGTTCGTTTACAATTTTTATTAAATCTTTACATCTTAAATCTTTAATTTTGTAAATTAATTCTTTTATTGTCTGATACTTATCAAAAGTTGCTAGACCATAATTTTAGAAAGTAAAAATATGTACGATGAACTTTTTGTTTCCAGAATACACATACAATAGAGTTTTCGGTAGCCGTCCACTCCCATGATTCACTCCCTTTTGCTACCATTAAAAAGAGTAACAATAGTACTGATGTAGAATTCTTCTGTTTTAGTTTTTAAATTCCTGCGATAATAGTTGTAAACCAGTAATATATATAAACATTTTTGTATAACTTACACTATCATTAATAGAGTACATTTGGTCGGTTGTATGGCATGTGTGGTGAAAGATATATTAACTCTTTTTTTAAATAATGATTATTGGTACCAATCCTTAGACCTTAATTTAAAAAGTTCAACAATAATAAGTCTAATAGTTATTTCGTATTTAGAAAAAAGATCGTCACCACTGCTTTGGGGTAAATTAAGAAATTTACATTTAGTTTCTCAAAGATTTCATAGATATAGCATAGACTGTCTAGATTCGTTGACGATACTCAATAATTTTGCAGTGAGGGGAAGCTCACTAAGATCATATTGTGATGACACAACAGACTTTTAACTTTGGTCTAAGAATGATGACACTTTAAATTTCTATCTTTGGTCTAATTGATAAGCAGTACTGGTAACGTAGTCATTTTTTTGAATCCATATAATTCACCAGTGGTGTTTCAAATTCTTTTGCCTTGAAAAACTATGATACATAATGTATATTCTTATTGGAAATGTTCTTACTTATATGTACTATAGATGCATTCCTTATGTCATGCTTATTTATGTCGTTTATGCTTCTTGTTGTACTTTTCCGCGTTGATTTCATATTCGTTGTCCTTAGAAACAAATTTAGTTTCTATTGAGTTTGATATTAAATTGATATTAATTTAAGTATTCAGGATTTAACTATACAGACAGGCATAATGCAGATATATTATATATCTTTGTTTTCTGAATATAAAATAAAAGTACTCCGTTCCTTACCAATTTGTAATGTTTTTAACATTAATATTCTATATCCCACATTGTTCTTCTATATCTTATTCATTTCTCTTACAATCAATATTTTTCGCTTATGTCTTTCATTTTGATGACCTATGTTATATTAATTATGCCTCATTTTACTTTATATTCTAATATATTTATATTTTTTATATTCTACATTTCATATTTATCTCTTTTATTTTATATCTTACATTTTTTCGTCATATCCCATATCCTTTATAGGATATATCCTATAAAGATTTCTTTTAAATCTTAACTCGAATATTTTTCTCATTCTATATATTTTAACAATGGTCGCAGTGCATTATTATATACGAATCATGTTATACCTATAGATAGTTATGGTCACGTCAAATGTGAATTTGTTATTGTTTTTTATTTTTAAAAAATTTTGATTCTAATTTGGTGATGAGGCTTTGTGTCTCGTCACATTGGTCAAAACAGTGTTGCTCTTTAATAAATATCACAATTTGCACCTATTAGGAGTAAATATGTGTATATTTATGTCAATATGCTTACATATCCCCACAAAATTAATTACCTTTTACCTGTATAACATGCCTTTTTGGTCATGATCAAAAAAAAATTTTAAATTTTTGTCATACGTCTATATTATGGCCCTATGGGATCATTTGGGCGTCAGTACTCTCTTAATTACTATTTTTATATCCCATATTTAAGTTTTCTATGTTAAATTTTTTTTTCTATATTTAATATTTTTCTTTTTCCATATATAAGTATTTTTTATATTTATAATATTATTTATATTCGTTATATTTTGTATATTTTTATATTATTATTACCTTTTTTCAATCTAATTTCTTTTACGCATTTTATAATTTTTTCATTTATATTTTTATTCTGTTTTTATTAATAATGATTATAATTATGTTTTTATATTATAAATTTTTATTTAATATTTTATGCTTTCTTTATTTTATATACTTGTAATTTTTTTTTAAATTTTAATATTTCACCTCGCTCCCTTGCTGAGTTAATTGCTTTTGGACCAGCCATTTTTTTCTGATCCAATATTCTCTTAATATCTAGTCCATCATATTTTATTTTTATCAAAAACCAAATTTGTTTTTACTCTTTTTGTCTATTCTTCATATTTTCTCTTATTTTTTTTGAATGATTTTTTCAGATTTATTTTTTGTTTATTATTCAAGCTGTGCTATGAGCTATGATTTAGCTCTTAATTTATTAATCATACACTTATTCCCTTTTTTCTCTCACTCACTAGCACATCCTCTCTATTTCTTTCGCCTTCGTCCCCTCTCTCTTCTTCGTTGGCTCCCTCATCTTCGCTGTTGTCTTCACCATTATTCATTCTTCTCTCTCTCAAAAACACTTTTCTCTCTTTTACAATCGTTGATCGTATAAATTGTGTCATTTGTCTTGTCTGAACTATCCTCAGGTATATATAAAGTAAATGTATGAAGACAAATATACCGTGCAATCTAGATATTCGTGATATATTTCCGCTCTATAACTTCCTGAATTAATATTCATAAATAAAGTGGAACTATTTATAATATGTAGAGTTGTTAACAGGTTTATTAAAAAAACTTACAGAAACTGGACTTTCTGATATTCTTACTCTTTTAGTTTATTATTCTTTATTTTTGGCATTTCATAATTTAAATTTTCTAAAGTTTTTTGCGTACCTATTGGGATGATAAATCTTAAATCTAATTCGAAATGTCCACAACTAAAGTCAATTGATATGTCATAACTTAATGTACTTTAATTATTTTTGTTTTCGTTTATGTTGCTCTCTTTGTACTCTGTTTTATCAATATTATCTCTTTTTTGATTAGAGTTAAATAAATTTAGTGTCCTGTACGAATTAATATAAATTAATAACCAAAGGAAAGAAAAGGTGCTGAAAAGTTTCCAACCAGAATATAATTGGAAGTCTTAGACGTACAGGTCACCAGCAAACTAACCAAATGCTGCATTATATTTTGCCTGTAAAATTTTGTTTGTTTAGTGATTTAAATAACATTTTTTCAAGTTTAATCACAAGTTTTATTTGTTCACCATTTTTAATGTAAATAAAATTACTTTATTTTTTTTTTGTTTACATCTTTTGAATAGTTTTTAATAATTGTTATTTTCTTTCAAATAATTTTTTTATTAATCAAGGTATGGGAGTTTATGAAACACGACCACCTCGCCCGAATTCCATAGAACTCCGTCGTAGTTATCAATCGGAACAAATCGATGGAGTATATGGGCCGTTAACACCTCAGACAGCAGCAAATGTTATAGCCAATTCTTCTGGGGGAACGCAATATGCATCTGCATACGCTATTAATGCTAATGGCATGATGTCAGCTCAACAATTGCAACTGCAGCACCAGGTTGCGCTGCAACAACAACAGCAACAACAACAACAAATGTACGACGATGCAATGTATCATCAGTCACAAGGGCATTACAGTCAATCTGGACAAGGTCCTTTATCGCCTGAACCAATTTACGCTCCCGGCACACCATCACGTACAAAGCCGCGTCCTTCACAACCACCACCTGCTCCTCCATCAAATGGTAGTGGAGGTGGTACTCCAAACGCTTCAACAGCCAATACACCAACAAGAGGTCGTAGTATGTCCACAAGTCGAGATGCGCTACCACCACCACCACCTATTCCTGATGGCATTGCAAATACTACATCACCATCACAAATGATAGCCATGAATGGTGGTGGTAGTCATATTGCAGCAAAATTATTAGCACGTACGAACAGCTCTTCGAGAGCAGGCTCTCCACAGCTGGCGCCTAGTAATAGTGTTCAAGATGCAAATGCACTTGTTATGGCGCAATTGAATAATACTATCAATAGCTTTAATAATATGAACATTGGTGGTCTTTCAGGACAAATGAATTCTATCAATGATTTGCCACCACCACCACCTGTACCCGATCAGGTAAATACATTTAAAATATATTTTTTTGAATTTAATATTAATATGTTTTTTTCTTTTTGTTTTGGTTAGCATTCACCAAAGTTGTCGCCACCAAATGCTGCACCACCACCGCCGCCACCTCCACCTCCACTGGATGAAAATGGTGGTGTACAGTTGTCACAACAGCAACCGCATCAGATAATGCCGAAACCTCTTGCAAATGGTGATATTCAGTTAGGACAAACAAATGGTGTAATGATAGGTCAACAACAACATATTGTTGGCCCAAAGAAGTTACTACCTCCTTTCCATGATACACGTACAGATCTTATGAAAGCTATACGTGATGGTAAGATAAATTTTTTAAAATATATTGCTTAATTTTAAAATAAGTAATTGTTCAATAACAAATACGAATAGTATTTATGGCAAAATTAATATACTGTGATCAAGTCAGGATGATGTACATTGATATATCACGTTCTTACTACCTAAAAACTTTTAAAGTGTTTTTTGTTATGTTCGAATACTAAAAAAAAGTCACGATACAGTAAATAATTAAATTGTTTTAATTTTTGTGTTAATTAAAAACTAATTAGTATTACATACATAATAATAAATATGTCAAATAATAAAAGATATAAAGACATTTGGATAACCATAATGCATTCAGTGTACAACTATTAACTATTTATTATTAATAATAAATTTTTAAAATTAGTCTGAGTTGTGGTAAAGAAATTGGACATTTCAGTAGGATACAGATATAAATCGATAGGGTTCGAATTAGTGTGTACATTTGATATTAACAAGTAGAGCTGCAGTTGTGGCACACACTGAATATTGGAGTATTATTACATGACAAGTAACTGTTTACTGTGTCACCACTCCCAACCTGGTGCTTGATCGAATATAAAGATATTTATACATCTTTCAAATTATCAGAAAAATCGTACTTAGAAAAAAAAGAAAAAGAAAAAAAAGACGAAAGTTACGCGTCTTATGACGAAAAGAAATGAAAAGTCAGAAGGATTTGAATAGAAATAAAATACACCAACAAAAATTTTAGTTAATTTATTGAAGTTTGAGAGCCCATACAACTCTGTTTCGAATAATACCAAGTACTTATCATCAGTGGTCTTAGGAAATATTCAAATTTTTTTTATTAGGTTATAATCCGTATGTAATTTGTTTGGAATGAAAAGCCGTTAATGATCAAAGTCGGCATCCTTAAGGTGTGTTATTCAAATTATGTTATCCACTTATTTTGTATACTGAATGTATTATAAACTTTATATATATTCTATATAACTACCAATACTTTATATTTTGCAAAATTAATTTAGCACTTGTTTAATAAAAAAATATGTTTTTAGGCATAACACTACGGAAAGTCGAAAAATCGGAACAAAAGGAAATAGAGCGTACCACAGCTTTGCATGATGTTGCATCTATATTAGCTCGACGTGTAGCTATTGAGCTCTCGGAATCAGAGGACTCTGATAGCGAAGATGATAGTGAAGGGTGGATGGAACCAAATGAGACTTCTGCTTGATCCCTGATATCTTTTATACCTGGTAAAGTGGCTGAAGTCGCTACTGCCAAAATAAAAAAGAAAAAGTAAAATATAATTTGTTGTGTGTGGTATCGTTTACTGAAAGTCAACTAAATTTATAGTCAAAATTTTGAATTGGGTGGATTCAAATGCATTTGAAAAACGTTAAAAAAAATTTTAAAAATTATTTAAAAACAATCAAAAAATTCATATAAAGCAAACATAAATAATCTATGTGCAAAAATTTGTTATGTGAGAAAATGAAAAAATAATGTTATTTAGGGATTATATGTATTTAATATCGAACAACCAAAATTTTTATTACAAGTACATATGTACAATTTGCGTTTATTAATTAAAATAACAGAAAATTAATTAAATACATCAACTTGAGGATAATATTAAAAGGAAATGTAATGAGAAAATCAAAATATAACTTGTAAATAAAAAAAAGTACTATTATGTCAAAGATTTATTTAAGCAAATTGAGTTTTGTATTTAGTAATAAGTTTACTATATAATATATATATATATACATAATACTTATTGAAGCTTAAATACAAGTATATATAATGTTCAAAATGTAACTCAAATTGTGCTAGTTTATCCATCCTACAAAACTATACAAATGATAACAGTCGATATTAAAATTAAAAATTTGTTAGAAAAAAGTATGTATTCATGCCTACTTGTTGACACACAGACCCGTTAAATCTCCATATACTATAGACCGTATTTAAATTATGTAATGTTTTCTGCTTTAGTTCTGAGTAAATTTAAATTTAAATTAAATGCATTTAATTTATATTTTTACTCTGATTTTACAAAATTTGTACTTTACAATAGCAGTGCAATAACTGATAGATTAAAATTTACACCTAAATTTATCCATTGATAATATGTTTCTATCAAAATTATTAATAGACATGTGACATATGTTTGGTACGATTTCAATTTATGGCGCGCACCCATTTAACAAGGTATTCTCTTCTTAATGCTATATGCCATGCTATATGCTTACTTCTCGAGATATGGATTTTGAAGTTGTAAACTTTTAAGATGGATTTCGTCAACAAAGAAACTACACATGCTTTCTAGTGTCAACTAGTGTATATGCATTTTTTTCATTGAATACATAAACATCTCTAACTGGCACCTCTAGCTGTTTTGAATGTGTAAATTTTCAACTCTAACGACCGATATCTCGAAAACTGAACTAAGCTATGACGTATAAAACGAAATTTACTTAGAATAGCGGATAAAATAGTCATACTGGGGAATCGAAATCGTGCCAATTGTTTGTAATATTTTTTTTAAAATGAATAATAAATGAATAATTTCAAAGGCATATCATTTACTGTCGATGTGAATATTATAAATTTATTGAATACAGCATTGCAGTTGATAAATACATACAGTTGCTAAGAACCAAGATTTTTTAGTACTGTAAAAAAAATGTACTCAAATTTTCATTCAAGGAAATTGTGAATGTGAATTATAGGCAATAATTTGATATTATTTTTAATTACAAATAACGCACAAAACTGTAATAAAAAATATTTCTTTTATAAATTTTGATAAATTTTAAATTCATATGCTGAATTGTTATGTTAACACAATATATATATATTTTATTCTTATAATATTTTATTATGAGCTTTATGTTATATACATTTTTTGCCATTGATACACACTGCTAAAAGTATTTACGATTTACAACGATTTTTTTTCGGATTCTATCAAAATATATATGCTATTCTATTTATAATTTTATATATATGCCATTTAAAGACGTTTTACATTATGGCAAACACATAAATCTAAAGCATAGTTATAAACTTTGTCTTTAACGAATGCTAATAAACTACCAAGCTAATTAAAAACATTCTAAATAAAATATTTAATTAAAAAAAAAATCAACAAAAACAAATAAATAAAAAAGAATTATATAAGATATTGGGTATAACCCCTAAAATATTCCAAACCAGGCATTTTTTTACTAAAACTTACACGAAATATTTTCTAATACTAATAAAATATATAAGTAGGAAATTGTTTGAATATAATTAAATATACTACTATATTTATAAATAATGTATCCTAAACACAGTTTGTACTTTGTATGAAGAAAAATATAATATTCAAATTTGACTAAAATTTATTTAATTTATATATTTTGATTACTTTAAATATATCACCTGTATATAAAACGTGAAATACGATAATTAAATTATAATGATACTTTTGATATATTCGCTTAATAATATATGAAATAAATAAAATAAAAAAAAAACACAAAAAATTAATATATAATAATACATATGTAGTATTATAATATAGAATACATAAGTATTTGTATGTAAAACGCGATATTAAAAATTCGTTTTATTTTGTTTTTGTTTTGATTAATTGTTTATATTAAATAAGTATAAATAATCACTGAAATAAATATATAAAATTTTTTATATATATTGTATATGTATATGTATTATATAATTTTAATAAACAATTTTATTATTATTAATTATTATTTAATATTTCATTTATTAGTTTTTTTCCGTTCATTGTCTTAGTTCAATTAGATACCAAATAAATTTTTTTAAGGTGTTTGTGGTTTCCTAAACAATTAGTCTTTTTTTCTGTTAAATTTTGTTAAAACAATAAAAAAATATAAAAGTAAATACTGAACTAGATATTTAAAATACATAAAACTTTGAATACCTAAGAAATAAGCGATAATAAATGAAGTTAAGCATACAAACTGTTCAAAGTATAAACATTTATCTTAAATCAACAAAATATTTAATAAATTGAATAACCAATCAAATTTAAATTTCTTTTATTTTTTACTAGTAGATGACCCGGCGAACTCTGTTCCGCCTTAAAGGCAGTAAATAAGCAGTTTTTTTTTAATTGGAAAAAATACAAAAAAAAAAAAATACCTACATTAATCATTCATAATTTATTTGTGTATTTTAGTACACATCGCAAATTATCTATTTGTTGACCTCTGTTGTTCGCTCGACCTTCAGTCCTTAAATTTGCAGTATTTCGTATTCTTCTTGCATTACGGCTTTGTCGGGAAAGATTCGATCGTCTTGGTCGTGGCATTATTAAAAAACTAAAAACTCAAATTTTCAACCATACCATACATTATAATTGTTAATTATTTATTTTGTTGAGTTTGCAACAACCAGGTAGTTTTATTGATTAAAAACGATATTTATTGCAACACAAACTTATATTGATCTAATACAACTTTTAAAAACACATTAACTAAGTTATATTTCTATCTGTTAAATTTTAATAAAATATTTTCTTATATCAAAAATTTGATAATTTCAAAACCTACTTTGTCGTGAACGGGATAAACAGGTATCCTATGTCCTTCTCCTGGCCTTAAACTACCTCCCTGCCAATTTTCAGCTAAATCGGTTCAGCCTATATCCTTCTCCTGGCCTTAAACTACCTCCCTGCCAATTTTCAGCTAAATCGGTTCAGCCGTTCTTGAGTTATAAGTGGTGTAACAAAAACACATCTTTCTTTTATATATATAGATTTAAATAATTTAATAGCATAATAATCAAAGAAAAGCTTTTATAATAAAACAATTAAAGAAGTTGTCATACAGTTGTTTCGAATATTGCGAAAATATTTATTAATAGTAGTCGTCAGAAATATTGACGGTTTAAGAAGTTGAACCGGCTCAAATTATAACCGTGGACTCAACTGATTTATAGTTTCCTTGAGCAAATTCATCGCTCATTATTTTTACTTTAATTGAAGTTAGTGATATGACCGACTGCAACAAAACCTCCCATTAAGCATAGTACCTCTTTGCATAAAAGTTATTCAGTAACCCAACCCAATGCATTTGTAGTGTTTCGAATACTGTTTCAGGTTCAAGGTAGGAATGAAAACTAGTGCCGTTCAACAATGTGAAAACATCATAATCTCAAGACACCACTTCCACTTCAGGAATCTGGGAAAATAAAAATCTATCGGCTATATGACGTAAAGAATTAGGAAATCTGCGTACAGGATCCTTAGCAAATTTGAAGTATGATGATAAAGAATTCTGTAAGCTTTCACGAAAAATAAACTTGTAATAAAATGTGCCAAGGATAGTTTAACTGCTTATAGTAGTGTCCCAATTCTCAGTACTGAAAAGAAACGATTGAGAGTGTAGCTTTCGCTTAACGATCCGTTTCAACACCCCAGATTGTTCACTTAAAAACTTAATCGCAACTTTAGTGAAAGATTTCTTTACTAGACCAATCATTTATTGATGTGCTCGTCCAAGAACCATTAAATAGAAAAAGGACAGATGGGTATATTTATCGAACGTAATTGAGCTGAATGGTGCTGCAATCTGCTTTCAATATTCAATATTTCAATTCGACATCTTATTCAAGAAGCAAATTGAAGATATTGCCTGTTTTTATAAAATTTCAAAGTGGTCTCTCGATCAAAAATACGTTTCTTAAAATAAATAGCGTGTCCTTAAAATTGTGGTAATTATTTTAGGCCACATAAAGAGCCTTAATGTGTTGCGTTTTCTAATTCGTAATTCGCAATTTTAGTCAAAAATTAATTTTTAAACATTTCGTATTTATTACCATAAGGGCTTCTAAGATATGCTTCTATAATAACATAATGCATATAAAAAAGTTATGTGATTTCCATAGACGATAGAATGTATGCCTATTTCTTCAGTACTATTTATAGAAAGCTGAAGCCATATATCATATATGGCTACTTAGCCATTCTGTCAGAAAAAGTGCAAGAACTATGATATTTTTTGTTCATTGTAACTTACCTAACTGGATTATAAAACTGGTTAATAATAGCGAATTTTTAACCAGTGGTTAAGGAAGTAACAAAATCGAAACTGAAAAGACAAGCGTCTACACTGGCAAAATCTATGAATATACTCCCATATTTTTACTGATCTAGAATATAACTAATGGATTGCATTTAGTTTTGATTAAGCGATGTCTCATATCATAAGATCTTGCCCTCAGGGATTATTTTTTTGCTATTGTTATTGCTTTTTGGGACGGAGGACAAAAATTGTCGTCAAATGTGGCAGTGATCCGTCGCCGTTAATGGATTTTAAAAAAACTTTGACAGAACGAAGTTTTAAGCCTCGTTAGTAACAGTGTATCGAGGATGTTTTGCAAAAAATAAACAACAACAAAGAGTTTAAAAACGTTTGTGTTTAATGGTAGATAAAAAGTTTCGAACAGCCTTTGCATAAATGAGATTTAATTACATTTTTTTCCTACAATTTTTTTGTTTCTTATTTTAAATAAAAAAAATTGTTTTAATTTATGTTACTTTCCTAATTTAAATTATTGAGCAGCTGGAGTTACTGGTGCATCTGGGCGATAGTGATGACCATCTTCCTGATATTCTTTATTAACCTTTAATGAGTGATTAATAGTGCTGCTAAAGCCTGGTGGACCTTGGCCAGGATTTGTTGAACTTTGAGGGTTATAGCCGTTATTGCCAGAGCCCGGTGCTGGATAATTGTTACCTGGTGGGTTATTGTTTGGTGCCGGATAATTATTAGGAGTTGGATAGTTATTTGGTGCTGGATAAGGTGCTCCTGAAGCTTGTTGTGTTGGTACTGCGTACATGTAATTTGGTGGCATTTGAGGATTTACAAAGCCTCCATATGGGTAGGGTCCTACTGCTGGTGGAGGCCCATAATATGCAGGTGGTGGTTGCTGATAGTAATATCCACCATATGGATACGGTGGTGGTGCACCACCCATATAACCACCATACGCTGGATTATTATAATGATGATGGGCTACGTTTGGCGATGAATGATGACTCTTACCGCTATGTTTATGATGGCCACCACTGCTGCTGTCACTATCACTGCTGCTATCGCTGCTACTTGAATCGGCTCGCGTACCATACACAAAAATTGCGAAAAATATTATTTTAATAAAAATTATGTTCTTCATTTTACAACCTGCTCAAATAGAAGTACTTATTGAACTAAACATGCTATAAGCACAAGATACGACCAAGTGATCTCTAATGTTTTTTTATAGAGAACGTGAAAAAAAACTCATAATGAATATATTGTATATGATAAGAAAACAAAATTTAGCGAAATATTGATATGAATTAAATCAGAAACATTAAAAATAATAAAATTCCAGCGAAAATGAAAACATAAATTGTGACATCCCATTAACTAATTAAGGTTTATTATGTAGATGAATAGAAGCTCTGACAGATGCTTGCAAACGTGTGAGATATTTTTATAACCACTTCACTTCTAAATTTATAGAGTTCAGAAAATTTCATTGGAAAATCCCAAAATACTGTTCAACATTTTGTTGCTTATTCATACCAATATATGTATATGTGATGAAGTATCGTACCGTTTTCTGAGAAATGCTATAATTTTATTAATCAAATATTATCAGTGCACTTGAAAAAGAATACAAGTCGCGTATATGTACAGATTATCTCAATTATATTTATATATACACATATACATCATTTTAATAAATTATTAAATTATGTCTTTACATATTGTTTTAATACATATTTTGCAACTTACACGTTCTAACAGCTTTATGAACTTCATTAGAATTTTCAATAATAAAACGTTTTACTCAATAAATTCTTATAACTAATGTAGCAATACGATTTATCACTACTAAAGTAAATACAGTCCCTACCTATAACATATCTTAGTACATTACTGTAATTATCATTAAAGAAATCAGAGCACTAAACCGTTAAGATCTATTATGCCTTAAAGTTCAAAGTTTGACTTTAACTTCAGCGATTGTAATTATTAGAAATCATCTAGTCAATGGGCACATATTTAAGTCTTCGTTTTCCAAAATTTACATGAGAAATTGGGTTTTAATAATTAAATTTTATAATTAGTTTCAAAACTGGGTTGCAATAAGTCTTTCACGAAAACGAGGCACCATAAAATCTAAAAAGAACGCTATCATTAGAGTCACATTGAGTTCTTACGGCTCTATCTTTAAACCAAGTAAAAAATATTTTCTGATGTTTGCAAAGCAGAGATATTGCACTGAGATAAATTAATCACAAACCATTACTTTAAGCTACCTGTTAGGAAATCTGGCTTTAGATCTATTGTGAGTATATGATATCGAAAAAATAAGTATTAAATCTAAAGTGATGGAATGGATTATTAAATTTGTCTCTGTAGCTATAAAGGCACTATGATGGTGTAGACATAATTTCTTATTACTTCTTCTCCTTACTTCCTCAATATATCTGGGCCAATTTCATATAGTTATCAGCATGGTAATGCTTGAATTTACACAGTAAAGTCAGTAAAAAAGTAGATTGGAAGCCAAAATTATTTCTACTGACAACCTAAATATCTTTGAGATTATGGTTTAGATCAGTGTTTCTTAACTGGTGGTGCGTAGTAATCTCCAACCAGTAATCCATGGACTAAAGGTGGTTCGGAAACTAGTTCAAAATATTCCGCGAATCAAATTTAACAGGTATGGGTACATAGCTTGCAGTTTGTCTACAGAGATCTCACTTATTAGAAAATAAGCACAAAAAAATTCCAAGTCATTGAATACCTATTTTATAGCCCATATTGTGTACTTTTGCGCTTACATAATTTATAATGCATTATACCAGAGATACATAAAGCATATTAAAATATTATTATAATATGTTTATTATTCTTAAACCTTGTGGTCCTATTAAAAACAAAAATTAGATAGACTGGTTTAGATAGACAGTTTGCTGACCTGGTCAAACTGATAGTTGCTGATAGTCTAAACCGAAATCGCCATTATTGCAAAACGATTGAGAAACCTTATAAAGTAAATAAAAAAGTAGAAGAAAGTGTCCGTTATTTATACAGGGTTAGGCGATTCAAGTGGTACCAACTACACATAGGTATATTTGTCATATTGATATTGCCAACTATATGAAATTCATACGAATCACAGCTGTTTATATTGTTTACAAGTTACCACAAGTATTTGCGTCTGTTTTATGGAAGAAACGTTATTCAAAATGAAATTCAAACGTAATAGTGTGATTGCGTTACATTTGATTGGAAAATCACAACCAGCTTTTATTCGTAAGTCCAAACATCTCAAAGTGAATAAAATGTTTGTGTATTATACCATAAATCGTTGGCAGCGTTGCCAATAGTCTAACGCTATGCCAGTGGACAAAAGAAACGTTTATTTCATAACGAACTCAAAATAAAGCCTCACAAGTTCCAACAGGTACAAGATCTTACACCAAAGTAAGATCTGAGTAGTTCAAAATGGTTGTGTATTTAACTGACTGCAATGCCAAAAATTTGAGTCAACGAGTGACCATCCAAATTAATGTTCAGTCTCAAGTAATGTCAGGGCAACCGTGACCGCCGATGGATGCTCTCCAATCGTTCTCATGCAACCTGGTATCAAAGTCAATGCAATTTATTATCGCGAAAATATTTTGGAAGTTGCTTTAGAGCCGTGGGTACGCAAACATTTAGATCGTAGACCATGGAAATTCCTACAAAACTCGGCACCGTCTCATAAAGCTCATAAAGCTCGTATGAACTAAGAATGGTTTAAAAACCATGTTCCATACTTCATTTCGTTCACACAATGGCTTTTGAATTCGCCAGATGCAAATCCTGTTGACTATTTCATTTGGGCTATTGTGGAGAGCAAGTTGAGGACTAGAAAATATGCCAGTATGAATGAGCTGAAGAAAGTCATTGTTCAGGACTGGGTCCAAAATACCGGAAGATCATATTCGTTAAGCATGTAACTCATTTGATTATCTGTTTGAAGGTCATATCGAGCCAGAGTGAATGCATTCTGAAATTTTGATTAGTTCAACAAATTTTTGTGATTTGAATCAATATTGAACAGTTCAATTGTGTTACCCTGTACATTCGATAATGTTCAAAATAGAACGTTAAAAGGGTGAATTTTATATACGCGCCTTTTTTATTTCTTTGTTACTTTAAGGGCCCCGAACCTATTCTGCAGAGTAAAGAAAAGCAAATAATTTTATTGCGACTAGAAACGTTATTTGTAAGATAATGAAAGATTTTAAAAAGCCTTTCTTCTTGAAATTATTTGCACGTAAGACTTTTTTAAAACAAAAAACCTTTAAATAAAAATAATTGATCAACCTATTTAGTTGAGCGGCACTGTTATATAAAGGACTGAAAATAGTTGCAAAATTGGTGGAAAACCGATAGATGTATATGAATAATTTAGTTAGGACGATATTCAAGTTTTGCGATTAAAATAATATTTTAATATTATAAAGTAAATGTCTGCAGATAAGCTCGAGATAAAATCATTTTTTGTTAATTACAGGCCATTGAACTGAAATTAAAATATTAACAAATATATTATTTTGAAATTTTGTTAGAAGAAAGTTATACGTTTTGCCAATAAGCGTCATGAGCATTGCCAATTTGCATTGCTTTAAATCTGCTTATTTACCTGACTTTAGGATGTTATTGATGTGATGTTATTCGCCTCATTTTATTATGAAGTTCTCCAACCGAAAAACGAGTTCATGTTTTGTATTCACAACAGCGATATTGGCATCAAGTCTTGAACGTTTTATTTTTCAGTGTACCTTCATCTGAGATACATTGCGAAAGTAGATAATCAAATAAAACAAAAAACTGGATATTTATTGAACCGTCTAAAATTTATTAGCAGCTCAAGTAATGGTATTTCGCAGAAATGCGATCAAGTTTGTTTTCTTTTGTAACACATTTTTTTTCTGAAATAACTGCTTTCGTACTCATGACATCTCCAACAAGTTTATTACATCATTCACAAAGCTACTTAGAATGAGTGCAACCGGTAAGACAATGCTTTTCCATTCATTGAGAAACTGCACTTCAAACGTAGCGCAGATATCTGAGTTTTCACCATACAATTTGCAAAGCTTGCAAAAATGCAAGTAAATGGAAAACTAAAACTTAAAGAAAGACGAAAATGACGATGGAGAATAAATCGGTGATCAGATGAGAATACATATTAAAATAGGGTTCTCACTAAAAGTAGAACCGTATGTATTTAATTTGTACTTTTTAGTATATAACGTTTTTAAAAGCGAGGCTTTGATGAACGCTAGCCATTCTAGCTTTAACTTCATAACGACATTCGAGAATCGAAGAACGAAAAAGGACCTATGACGTTTCGTGGCCTGCTTCGGCTAATCCTTCAGTTTAGTGGGATCACTTGTTGGACGGTGCGCTGTCCCAACGTTCCACAATATATACATATATATATATACGAGATGAACGTATACATAGATGAACGTTAATATGATAATATAACCAGCAATAGCAGGAAATGTATATTTCAAAACATATGCGAAAGTTAGTTTTGAAGGCCCAACACCAATTTTACATTTAGATATCAAAACAATAGTTCAAACTTCGTGTTCAAAGACTGATAACGTCTGATCGCAGATGGTAACTCTATATAAACATTTCTACACGAAATACAAAAAATATAAATCTGATAACGCAACTGATCTCTGAATGCCGCCTACTATGTATTGTTTTGCTAAGAGTTAGTTACAGAGTCAGTTACAGGACGCGGAACTGCCTGATGAGAGCAGCGAGAAGTGAGGAATGAATGCATCTATATCTGGCCCATCCAGACCAGAAAATCACTGAAGAGGTTGGAGGGCGTTTATAATTTTTCCGAAGAATAATAAATATACGGAGATAATGTTAAATTTAGTTTTATAAATTCTTCGTTGATTTATCTTTTACAATTCTATCAATATCAGCATTATGAATATTAGTTGTTGTAATACGAAAAATATCTTGTTTTTAATGTAATGATTTATGGCATTGGATATGATTTTTTTCAATCAGTTGTACAAAGAAATATATACTAAAATTTTTATCAATTAAGTAAATTTACGTGAAATGTAATAAATTATTTAAAACATTTTAATTAATTTATAATTTATACCATAAAAGAAAATGTATTTACTGAAATA